TATTTGTTTAAAATACTTTATTGCAACTTCATACGGTTCTCTGATTCTCCCAGCAGCGGGACTCTTGCGTGTGAGCATCAAACCAGTTTACTCTTAAATTAAAACTCATTTATATATAAAAAATTTTTTTCTTTTTGTACAGACAGGCTCTGCGTGCGCCCCCAGCCCTCCTGCTAGCAGGAGTCAGTGGCAGATGGCTCTTCTTGACAAGTCAGGCTAGTGGAAGAACAGCAGCCCCATCTTTTTCCACCTGATAAAAGACTTTTGTTTCTAGTGGCATCCAAAAAGGAAGATTTCTACCTCCTCTTCCACATCCCCCATGGGAGGACAACAGCCACAGATCCACGTGTCCAGAGGTCACCAAGCAGCAACACTCTGCCTCCCATCCCTGCAGAGTCCCTCTGGCCTCTCCTGGTTAATACAATTCTACTATTTAATGGTTTTCTCTTAGAAAAGCAGCATTATTATTTTTTTAAACACTTTTTATAAAAACTAACAGACAGGATCAACAACAACAATACAAAAATGCAATAATCGCTTTTCAACTCAAGTGCGCAGCAAATGTTCCACCCTATAAGGATACAACTCGGACCCATATGGATATATATGCAACGCAGCCCCCTCCTGAATGCGATCCGAGATCCCTGCCTTGGAGGAGTGAAGATGCGTTTCAGACTATAGCAGCACATTCAAATGTATTTCTTAAAACCTAGTCTGATGTCTAAGCTACCTACAAAAACCAACCAGCTTCCAAGTGAGAGTCTCCCATTGCCCAGGGAGCTAGGGAAGGGGACGAAGGGTGAAGGCACTCTTTCGGAAGGAAAGGAGACCAGCATCCAGGCCCCACAGCGAGGAACTGCAAAGTCTTCCTCCTTCCCCATATCCCAGCAGTTAACAATAAATTAAGCAGCCTCCGTGGGCCAGCGGAAAGCCAAGGGGATTGCGCCCAAACCTCGCCCAGGAGGCTGCTCCCGAAAGCGAGGACTTCTCTTCTGCTGTCCACGCAGACAGAGAGCATGTCCCCCAAGCAAGCCAAAAACCCACAAATCCCAAATTTAACGGCAACAAGAAACAAGACACACGTTTCCCCTCCAAGCAGAAGCAGCCACGCCACCCCCGTGGGAGCCACAGCGACCTGGCACAAAGCAATTGGGAGCGAGGGGCCAACAAGCCCCTGCTCCCTCCTCCTGGACAGTCGGTTCTCTCTCATGAGCCACGCGCGCCCGCAGCACCCCAGCCCCCGGAGGGTTATGAGGATTTTTGGTTGCATAGGCCATGGTAAGAGGCTCGCTATCCATGACTGATGGCCCACGTGGGGCTGGCACTCGTCACGGTAAACACCCCCGAGGAGATGGCGAACAGCGGCCAATCGGGCTACGAGGAACACGAACTGAGAAACATTTCACAACTTCATTTTGGGTCCTGCTCCCCCTCCCCAGCCATTCTTGTGCCCTGCCACCAGGAAAACGGTCGCTTCACCCCGGCCACCTGCAGAAGCCAACGAGCAATGTCGAGCTCCGCCAGCCCGGCTGCTCGCTCCAACAGATGAGCGTGGATCCTGCTCCACGCTCCCAGCGAGCGGACAAATCCTCAGCAGGCGTCAGATGGAGGGGGCTGACGGATGGGATGGGGGGATGCAGCGACCTTTGGGTGTCCAGGGCGAGGTCCTGCTGCAGCGAGGTTGGGCGGCTCTCGGGAAGGGGAGGTCGGTCACAGGTTGATGTCCGTGACGTCTGTAGGCGTGCTGGTGGGCTGGCTGGCCGGGTAAGCAGCAGTCTTGGCAGCTCTGTATTCCTGTTGGGTTTGGGATGCCTGTTTCAGGCTCTCGGCTAAGGCCGCCTCAATCTGCTCCTGACAGGCTTTCAGGCAGTCCTGGGGAGAGAGAGCAAGACAAGAGGCCTCAGTTCTCTGCTGCTCAGAGGTGGGAGCCTTATAAATAGCTCTGAGCAGCTGCTGGGTTATGTCCCTGGCCCCTGGAGCATCTAAACACCCAAGACAAAGAAGCCTTTCTCTGACAAAGGGCATCTCCAGCTTGTCTGTGCTTCAGGCCCCTCCCCAGGAGAAGCCCCACACTCTGGTTGTCTTCTCCCCACCTCCCTGCTTGACCATGTTCTCAAGGAACACACGTGGTGCCCATCGGAGCTTCCCAAAGCATCCAGGCTCGTGCCTGGATGCAGCGGGTGATTTCAGCATCACAGCAGTCAGCTCCTGCTGCTGACTGAGAGGGTAGAGCCGAAGAGCTCTGTGCAGGCTGGTATCAACCTTTACAACCAAAACTTCCAACATCCACGAGCAACGGCCAGCGTGCAGCAGCACGGGTGCACACAGGGAGCCCCACGTGCCTCCCCCAGGCCCCTACAACCCAGGTCTCCCGGAGCTCGGCGTGGTCCTGCATCTCTGCAGTTGCCCACCCGCTGCAGAGAAGCTGCGCACAGCTCTGCCTCCTCCTGTGCCTGCCCACATCCGAGCCAGGACAAGGTGAATCCCCGCTGGGTGCCTAGGCTGACGCACACCCCATCACTTTGGGGTTCTCCAAGGCACCTGGACCCAACCCCCCAGCCGCCCCATCCACGTGTTCCCTACAACACGACGTGCCGTCGATGCTGGGTCGTTAGAAGAATGATGCTGCGGCCATGCAGCTTCTCGCAAGGCTCTGACTCCTCCTGCTCTTGCCCTGGGGAGCCCTGCGTGCCTCACAGCACCTCCCCGGGCCCAGGGAACCCAGTGCGGGGGACACACCAGCCCCACAAACAGGAAGGTGCAGGGGACCACAAGCAGCCGCCCATCACTTGTAATAAAAGCAAAGCCCGCTCTACTTTCTCCCCACACAAGCTGTAATCAGAGGAGGAAACGCCTCCACTTCGACACCAGAGCTCCGTGATACACCGAGAGCCGCCGGAGGCATCACCACCCGGCGCACCCCAGCCCGGCTCCTACACCGCGTCTCGGCTCTCACCGAGGGGCAAGCGGTGACATTTCGCACCTCGCGGCCGGAGCCGAGCTGGACGCCGCGAGGCCGCGCACGCTCGCTGGATATTGTCACACACCGAAATCTCTTACCAGGAATCCGCCGCCGGTTCTTAGAAACTGACAGAGGATGTGGTGAGCGAAAATAGCAACGCCCACCTCCCCTTCCCCATGCTGCTTCCCGTCAGCGCAACCTCCAGCTCGCCCGCCCGCAGCCCCGGGGCAAGCTCGCTGCAGGGCCTCGCACCA